ATTTGGACACTGGCTTGTGTAAAATGGAGATTTAATGGTGGCATTAAAACGCACACACTTTGATAGCTATGTTGATAGCAGTAGGTGAAGCACCACATGGTGCTACTTGTAACATCACGCTAAAATACAATATAATGAAGCTATTATGGAATTAAAACTGCTAGGAAATCTCTGCTGCTCTGAGTGCAATACTTGTTGAGTTTGGGGGAAAATGGTGTCTACAATGACGGACAGCGGCAGCCTCACATATCATGCAGACAAACCAATCACCATTTGGGCATAGCCTCCATCTGGCTGTATGTGAGCCATGTATTAGAGCTGAAATCAGTCAATTAACAGAAAAGTAACTGCAAGCTATTTTGATAATCAATCATTAAAGTAAATTTTCAAGCAAAACATTCCAGAGATTTTCTAGCTACAATTGTGAAGATTTGCTGCTTTTCTTTGTCTTATTGAATATAAAACTGAATATTTTTATATTTTGGCAGGCTGGCCCAATAAATGATGGACTCACTGTAGGATTAAGGCTAGAATTACTGCTTTGCGGTTGTATGCCTTCACCAACCAGTCAAATTCACAGGTATGGGACAGAAGAGAGGTCACTAACCTTGACCTTTGGCCACCAAAATCCAATCAATTCATTTTCGAGCCCAAGTGGACACTTGTGCCAAATTTGAAGAACTGTGATTGTATTTTTCAGCATTTTATATGGATATACAGTGGGGCAAATAAGTATTTGATACACTGCCGATTTTTAAAGTTTTCCCACTTACAAAGAATGGACAGATCTGTAATGTTCATCGTAGGTACACCTCAACTGTGAGAGACAGAATCTACAAAAAAAAAAATTCCAGAAAATCACAGTTAGATTTATTAAATAATTTATTTCAATTTTATTGCATGAAATAAGTATTTGATACAATAAAAAAAATAGAACTTAATATTTGGTACCGAAACCTTTGTTTACAATTACAGAGGTCAGACATTTCCTGTAGTTCTTGACCAGGTTTGCACACACTGCAGCAGGGATTTTGGTCCACTCCTCCGTACAGGTCTTCTCCAGATCTTTCAGGTTTTGGGGCTGTCGCTGGGCAACACGTAGTTTCAGCTCCCTCCATAGATTTTCTATTGGGTTCAGGTCTGGAGACTGGCTAAGCCACCCCCAGGCCCTGAAATGCTTCTTACA